TTATCTTGTAACCACGTCAGGTTGGTGGATGGGTTCATCTTTGGAGTTTAATGTGTTTGTTTTATTTCAGTACCTACTTTGTTTTCCGTAGATGACGTTAGAGCTGGCATGTTTGTGTTTTCTAGTTAGCTCTTTTGTTATTCATGATCTTGCCATCCGGTTTTTCGCGCTGTCGTTAAAGGGACAGTATCATCGAAAAAAAAATCAATGTATGGAGCTGATTTTTTTTTTACTAGCATTTCTTATTTTTCTGAATCAGAAAAACATAGTTTGAGGACCGAACTCGGTGAAAAATATTTTTTCATGAGCGAGTCATTTTCATGAGCGAACCACCACTACAAGCATGGCCGCCACTTTGGAAGCCTGCGAAATTACTACAGAACTGGCGCAGATAATACATTATTGACGCTACGCTTACGCGGCCGCTCTTCTGATTGAGTTGTCGTTGAGATCGAGACTGATCAGATGACGTCATACATATACGTCATACATTGGAGGGAGATTGTGATTCAAGCTGGAGGAATTCCTTTGTTGAGCCGCTAGAATCCGAAGGAAACAGCGGACATTGCCTACGACTATTTAATGAATTTAACGGTGATGAATAAGTGCGAAAAACATTTTGGCTTTATAAAATTTGATGAAATGACCAGGGTAAAAGTTTTATTACTGGCGGTCAATTCAAAACGGCGCTAACATTTAAACAGTGAAGATAGTGAAGCACGATTCAAAGTGTAGTACACCTTTCGTACTTTGAGCGGCGATAGCGGGATAACGGTGTGGAGCTTCGAGGATCGGTCTTCAGTTCCCGGACCAGAAAGGTGGGGCCTATGCAATGTCAAATTTCATCAAAATGGTGATACTGTCCCTTTAAGCAGTGAGTAGTGACACCGTTTAGCTCCGGCACATCCAGTCCCTCCGTCTTTGGTCCTCGGCCTGCGCCGACGTCCCGCTGGCCCCCAGGTGCCGGCTCTGGTGCGCGTCATGCATGTGGTGGAGGTGAGCCGGCACGGCCTGGTGCGGCTGCGGCCCGACGGCTGGCGCGGCGCGCCCGATCAGTGGGTGGCCGCCGACGGGCCCGGCCTGCACGCGCCCGGCTGGTGCCGCCGCACCGGCCACCCGCTCACGCCGCCGGTGACGCGGCCCCAGGCCGGCCGCTGCGGCACGCCGGGCTGCGCCGGCCTGGGGAACGCCGGCGGGCCGCGCTACCGGCGTCATATTGTCACCGAGCAGTGTCCGTACCGGGAGCAGCGGGAGGTGACACCGGACCGGCGCGCCTCGGCCCTGCAGGAGGAGAAGGAGCTCGACAGGTATGACGCGGGGGTTCAGACAGCTTTGTGGTACGGATAGATGGCTCTAAGAACGGTGGGGAAGTTTGCAGCAGGAATTGAAATTCAGCTTGCATGAGTCGCTTTGTTTCAATAAATATCTGGCAGTGTTCCCCTTTTCCGGTTTGGTCCGACGGTTGGTCCGAACCGTGTTGTTTGCTATGTGTGTTGTGCGTACTGACTGTGCTGGCTGTGTGTTGTGTGCCACAGCGTGGAGCTACCGTCGCCGCCGGCACCCGCCACCGACCCTCCGCCGCCTCCGGCCAGGAAGGTGGTGACCCTCTCCCGGGACATCAGCAGCATCGCCAGCGAGGTCACCGACACCGTCTTCGACAAGGACGCGCCCGCACCCGGTACGGAGCGAACCCGATCGATATTGCGCTCCTGTTTGTATTCTGCTCTTAATGTCTGCTCGCTCTCTGTCTGTCCTCGGTCTCTAATTCTGCTCCTCCTCCCCCTCTTTCCACAGAACGGCGCGGAGTCTGGCCGACCTGTAAGAAGTTGAACACTGTCGACCGATTTCTGGCCATGCACAGCGCTATCCACGTGTGGGACGCAGAGACCGTGCATCGGTTCCTGTGCCACTTCGGCCCGACCGGAGACGCCGGGTCGTCGCTCGACATCATCAAAGACGAGGTGGGTCTGGAATGGAGCGCTCACGGTAACTAGGTAAGGTGGGGTCGAACGCTCTCAGCATCTTCAGGGCGATGTGGGTTTAGGACGGGCGCTCCCGGGAACTTCAGGGACGAGTCGCGTTTGGGAGTGCATCTAGTAACAGCCGGTGCTATCGGTGGTTGACGGCTCGGCTCCGTTTTCCAGGAGATTGACGGCGAGGCGCTGTTGCTGCTGACGCGGGACGACCTCTGTTCGTTACTGAAGGTGAGCCTAGGAACGGCCACCAAGATCCACAACTGTATCGTCCGAATGCGCAAACGCTATAACTACCGCGGCCGGTCGGCGAACGAAACCGCCACCTGCCGGAAAGCGAAAGCGTAACGCAATATCATGGATCTAATAGGACGGTGTTTTCATAATAATAAAGGACAGTGAGGTTGTCATCTGAGCGGTCAGTCCACTCCGGTCTACACTGCCGTAGCGATGTCCAGCATGTCTGCAGCGGCAGTAAAATGTCGCCTTAGCCGCGTATCTTGCCCATCGTCATATCGGTGCAGTCCCGACCGGGTTTGAGGTGGTACACTGCAACTGATAGTGGGGGCATTCCACGATAGATCGTACCACTTTTTTCCAATTTGACACCCTCATCTCTCGGATTTTAACGATAATTGGTCTAAGGGGTAACCAGGGGCTCTGAATCCTCCTGTGACAATTTCAGGCTGATCCGATGAGTAGTTTTTGAGTTATAATGTATAACATGTTTTGGATCTTTCGTTGCAGCGCCAAGTTTGGCGGGCTGTAACTCTAAGACGGATAATCCAAATGCCAAATGTTATACGGCATTGAACTTGCATTGAAACAAAGAATAATATGCATTTTTAAAATTTTGAAATATAAACTATTTTTGATATATAACACATCGAGTTTCCTTTCATTTGCATTTTTATGCCTTTGGGACCAAATTTTTTTGAATTTTTATTTACTTAAAAACATTTTTGGATCATTATTAAGTAGTATGCAAAAAATTAGGAAGGTGTTCTTTCTATAAATGTACTAATTTTGCGTCACCGTAATGGTCTCAAATTGTGATTTCGGGAAGAGAGCCTACAAATGGCGTGGTAAAGCTGCCTAGTGACATCACTGGTTACTGAAAGTCCAATTGAAGTCATTTTTGCCTCAGGTTTGCATTGTTGACCTTGCGTGACGTCATTCGTACGTCACTAGGGTCATAAGAGTTTTTCGTCAATAACTCTCGATCAAATTGAGCTAGAGAGATGGGAAAGCTACCAATGGACTCAGGAAGACCTTGCGAATCGAATGATGTGCAATATGATCTCATTCAGAACCCAGCTTCGTGGCCTGACCCGACTGTTAACCATCTCTGTGGCGGCGCTGTTTGTCCAGCGCCGCGCTGGTTGGCTTTGCCGCGGACTCGGGGCGGTCACGTGATGCCCGGCGGCTGGCTGCCGGCTGGGCCGCCCGGTCGGGGAGCGGAGCCAAATACACGGCAGTGTGCTGACCCGAGGTCAGCAACTTAAGCTGACCTCACCAGAACAAACAGTATACCATTCGACGCGCCGGTGCTAGGCAAACACAAAGATGCTAAAATTGGGGCTCTGCGACCATTTGTTGCGAAGGTATCTACCAAAAACCGGACCCGTAATTTGGGTCACTTGAAATGACCTTCAGGGGTCACCAATAAACCTGAGACCTTAAAATGTGGTATCATTCGGTGCATCTTGTAACGGCGCACATGCTCGTTTTTTCCGCAAGGTTCTAGCTCCATTAGAGGCAAAACGGCGAGCTGGGGTCGTACCGACCCCCCGAAAACCCATTTTGTATGCATTAAAATGAGAAACTTATAGAAAGAACACCTTTCTAATTTTTTGCATGTCGATTTTAAATGACCCGAACTTTATTTTGGAGAAATAAAAATGCCAAAAATTTTGGTCCCAAGGGCCGTTATAGACAATTTAAAAAAATATTACGACTTTTTTCAATATGTAAAGCTTTTCTTTCCAATTTTAAAAAAGCTGTATTAATCTTTAATTCACCGTTAGTTCAAAGCTGTTTACCGTTTGTTGCTTGCTTAGCTCGTTTTTGAGTTATAGCTCATCAAACTCACCCTTACAATCTGAAGCTTAGAAAATGTTATGCAATGTAGCTCAAAAAGTTTTCATCTGAGAAGTCTGAAATTTTGACAGGTGTTTTTGGAGCCTATGATTTTCATTACCGATTTTCATTCAAATCTGAGAGATGAGGGTGACGGGCCTGGTACGATCTATCGTGGAATGCCCCAGTGGCCATTTGATCAATCAAAGAGTTCCATTCGCTCAGAGTCACGTGCTGTGGTTCCATAAGTCGCATTTTAGTTTGGCGCTGGAGGAAGGAGGAAGGTCAGTGAGGTCGCCCAACATTGTTTCGATGATACTGTGCCGCCCAGTACGGGCGGTGTGCGCTGTGAGAAAGATCTCTGAGTTGTGCGTACGGCCGGCGTGTGCGCGTGGTGCGTGTGACACCCCGACCATATACACAGGCCGGCCAGGTGTTGTTTTTATGGAGATCGTCAGGGTTCGGCGATAACGTATTGTTTTGGAGACGAGTCTGTCGCGCAATGCAAGTGTTTGTATGCTTAGAATACACATGTGTAACTACCTCTACGTTCTTTGTTTGTTGTCTGTGTTAGGCGTTGGTTGTAGTATCGTAGAGTAACGAAAGGTAATGGACATGATTGATCAGCTTGCTGAATAGCAACAACGGTTTTCGAAACACATTTCAACACTTTTCTCCAATGTTCCGCGTCCGCAACAAATAGGTATTGCACATTTGTTAAAAAAAATATATATAAAGAACTATGATCCGGACAATATTTCCTTTTCGTCAAATGGAGTGCAAGTATGTCGCCGATTCACTTTACCACTATCTCACGTCTGTGGATACATAATTAGGTAAACACTGTCTCTCGGTGACCCAGAGGGGAGCTGTGGCGCGGGTGTGGCATAAACTACACTCCTGGACACCAGATGCTATCAGGAGCGGTCGAATTTGACGCCCGAGATTCTGGCACAGCTGCCGGTGCCTGCTGTGTATACTGTATACGCCACCCGTGACGCTCGCCCCTCCGGGTCGGCCCATGTTGCCCGTTCAGACCGGCCAGAGATGGCTGCCGCGCCGGGACTCCCGCTGCTGTTGCTGCTGCTGCTGGCGCTCGGTGCGTCGGCGGCACCGCTGGCTGAACACAGTGAACAGGTTACTGCTGACAGTGAGCAGGTAAGCGCGGATCGCTGGGGAGCAGGAGAGTGTTGACGGTGAGCAGGTAAGCGCGATTCAACGAAGAATGGTGAGCAAAGTCAATCGGTGAGCGTTAGGTAGGTGAGCGCGAATCACTGGTGAGCGGTGAGCACGAATCACACCGGTGAGCGGTGAGCAGGTCATAATTGACGTAATTGACGGTGAGCAGATGAGTCGGTAAGCATGGATCAATGGTGAGCGGTTAGTCACATAGGATAGCAATAACTTCGGACCAAAGGTTTATACAATTTTTTAATATACCTATATATTTTATGCCCCCCACTTCAAGGTCTCAGGTCAACTCGTGACCTCTAGAGTCAGGTCAAATGCTCCAAGTTGGAGGTTAACACGAGTCTTGATTAACTCGTGCCGTGCTGGGGCGCTCCCCCCCCCCCCCCGGCCCCCCGCAAGGTTTTCGCAAATATCTCAAAGACGGCGCCGCCGGCATTTTTTGTCACACCTACTCATACATCTTTTCTGCACATGACGTGAAAATTTCAGACTCGGGTCGTTCAAGGTCAGGTCATCAGGTCACGTCGTGACCTTACCTCAGAAAAGTTCCAATGCTCGCTATAGCTACACCGAGACCGACTGAACGATCGCTTTGAGACTTTCAGCGATAGTATGTATGAAATGCTTATCTCGAAATTTTGACATCTGTGACCCAAGGGTAGGTCAATTTTGCGACCTTAAGTCAATGGGGGAAATTGAAATGCGCGTCTTTTGGACGAATGTCGTTCTAAACACTCAAACATCGGTTTATAGATAAAGTATAAACATGAATACACTGAATTGGAAAATTGCACCCGTGACCTCTCTGAGCCCCTGAGGTCATCGCAGGTCATGAAGGTCCCCAGTAGTTTTTTACATTAACTTTTGATAGAGACATATTAGAGCGGTGAAAAGTAGTGAAAACACCTCAGATGTGCTCAGCTCGACGATACGGATCAACTTATATGCAACATGACCTCTTCCGGTTCGTGAGGTCAAATTTTCACAATGACCTTTCAAGATCAAATTATGCCTAGTTCATTCGACGCGTCTCGACCAGAGGAACACGATTCTGGCAAAAGTAATACTCGTGACTCCCTTGAGTCAAAAGTTATTACATACAGAAAAAAATGTCTCGTAGATAGTTTTTACCCTCTGGAGGCTAAACCGTTGACCTGAGGTCAAATCTGAGGTACCTAACGCTACAGAAAGCCCATTAAAAGGGCTATCAAACGAGCTTTTCCGCGGCGTTGTAGCTTTGTTGGCTCCCGAGTTATGCCCCAGTTTTCCGATTTTTAAAAAAAATAATTTGAAAAATTTGACTGATGACCTCTGACGATCTGACCTTTGACCTGACCTAAAAAATGACCGATTAATTTTCTTCATTATTTTTTACGCTCTTTCGATTGCCGCTTACCGAGTGTCGCTACGTGGCCCAGGAGCCGAGTTAGACGGGGCGTGAAAACGATCCCCTCTCCCCCCCCCCCCCCCCACCACCACCACGACAGACACGGAAAACACAGACCACCAGCACGGCGCGGGTTAATAACTTCGACAGGAATTGGGGCACTGCCGTAATTTTGGCACCATCGTATTCTACCATCGTATGCTCAGGCGCGTCAGAAATTTTGTTTTTGTTTGTAAGAGGTCGGATGTTGACCTCGGGTCAAATTAGGTCAGAGCCGTTCAGATCACAAAGTTGGTCGAAAGAGGTCATGCAGCATATCATTCGATTCGGCAGGTCTTTCAGACTCAATGGGTGCTTTCCCGACTCGCTAGGCTAGATCAATTTGATCGGAAGTTATTGACGAAAAACTCCGATGACCTTAGTGGCGTCATATATCATGAAGTCAACAATGTAAAAATTAGGCATAGTAATTGGCATCTTATGTAGAATTAAATGAGATTCCAATTCCTTGCTTGAGATAGTCTTAGATTATAGTCTCGGGGAGGGGGGGGGGGGGCAAAAAAACAGTTTTCATATTTTCCCAATTCAGAAATAATGGTGAGACTACCTACGTGAACAACCTGACCTCAATTGACCTGTAGGAAAAATCAGATATAGACAAAATGTGTTTGTGGGTACTGGAGAGTTTGCTACGTCCTGTAAGTTTCACTTCATTGTGAAAGATTCCCTGACACTGAGAGCGTTGCAAAGTTGCGACATTTTTGGGCCAGGCATGGGTTTACTTATGACGTCAAAAGTCAATAACCTGACCTGACCTGAAAATGCAATTGGTGTCACAAGATCAGGCTTGAACCAAAGGTCAGGCATGCCAACTTTCAGCTCTCCATCGCTAAAAAGTTACGAGTTAACGCAACAATCGTCAGAAGCCATGTAAAAACTACTTTAACCCTACTCGGCCGGGATGTCGCCGGGTTGGCGACAACCAGACAGAACCGTCTTGCCTATTGGTATGTTTGGCAGAGCTCTAGTTTCCGTTCGGACCCTGCTCCTTACATCACGGTCTGGCGATGCTGCGACCTGCCATTTGTTTAGAGTCTGGAGGGCGTGCCCGTGCACTGTGCAGAGTGCTGCAGACTACCGATCCGTATCTCAGACATCACATCGCCATGGCATCAGCGATCAGCTCGCCGGAGTGTGTGTTTGCAGCTTGCAACCGCCAGTGCTGCAGACACCAGGCGCACATATGCCAGATGCTAATACCAAACATGAGCCGTTCATAATCATTTCAGTATTCAGTATTCACTCTTCAGTGGGTTACTTTGAACGAATTTGAAGACGGAAGACTACGTTCGTGAAAATTGTCTTTTTATATGATGAACAGATCTGCACTTATTTACCTTGTCATGACGGGACTGATAAATGAAAAAGCACCTTCCTTTTCGTAAAATATAAAAACAGGCGGAACCTAAAAACAAAACAAAAACAAACCACTTCCGAATCGCATCAGCGAACGTTTACAAAGCAGCGCTATGCCGTTTCGTAGAGTGCCTTGAAGGTAGGCTGTCCCGCAAGGCTAGAGGGCGCTGCGGCACAGCATCACGGCGGTCCGTCACTCCAGCGGCGGCCAGCGAGCATACGTTCACGATTCATAACGACGGAAAGGGCACGATCTCGAAAAGATCAAATTGAGTAAACATGTTGGGATAAGGGTAAGCTGGTCGTATGTCAAGGATCCCTTAGGCGAGTTGATACTTGATAATGTCACACCGCCGGCGCGACAGAGCCGTATGGTCAATGCTTTCGTAAACGGGCCAGTGCGATACAGCAAGCGCTGGTAGTGGTACCTACACGAGTAGCAGATACTTTTTTGGGTAGGTATCAGCTCAGTAGGCACATAACTAAGGGCTACCTAATGTCTAGGTATTGCCTCATATCAAAGTGGGGCAATGGACCATCATCCCGACCAATATCTTAAAGTTTGTAGAGGCCTTCTTCATGAGCCGACCACCCTTTACTCCCTTTACTGTTTCGGCCATGATGCAGCGCATCTCATGCTGCAGGCGGCGAACATCATCCTGCAGTATGGCGGTGCCGGTGACGCGCTCCCGGCTCGGGTGCAGCTGGACCGCGGTCGGAGGACGGTGGTCGTCACCGTCGACGGCGTCGGCACCAGCCTGTACGACTTTGGACAGGTGAGATCGACACTGCCCCCCTCGGTCCTTCGAGCTGGCTGAGAAAGGTGGTGGTAATCCACAGCCGCACCGAGCGCCAGAACAGCTCAGGATCACGCACATCCCTCAGCTACATCCCTCACGCACGGGATGTAGCTGGAATTCACCGTAATGGGACGATCATTCTCCGCAATTTACAGCCGAGTGGTGATTTGAGCCGTGAGCGGACTGCGGAGCCGGCAATATCAGCACAACAACAAGGCTTAGTTGGAAGTGACATGTAGGTATAGACGTGTCGCATATCTTTTGGTACCTACAGCTCATAATCAGCCCGGATTCAGTCCCAAATTTGTATAACAACAGCAAACACTCACACACTCTTCGCTCAGGGGGTCGCCTCGCACCTGACACTGGCCGCCGACGGCTGCACTCTGGAGCGTCTGACCATCGGGGAGACGGTGTCCGACTCGGAGCGATGGCTGGACTGGGTGCGGAGCCAGGCGGCCACGCCCCGGCCCCGGATCGTCTTCACCTGGGACGCCAGCCCCGACGACACCCAGGTGAGAGACTGGCGCTGAACGGGCGACAAGGATAACGGAAACCTACGTGAAAAGTCAGCTGAGGATGACATGCTAGAAACTAAAAAAGGTCAGCTAATCTCCCAGAATTCACTTTACTCTTGACTGTCGAGTAGGGTGTGTCATTTTGGGCACTTTTTTTCGCAAAACATGGTGCTCCACTGATAATATCGTGCCCCAGACACGTAGAAACCGTGTGACATTTTTCATTTCCCCCAATTAACACCCATGCGGCGCCGACCGCCGACACTTTGGCCTATCTCTCAGCATTAGCGACCTCAGCGCCCCTAGCGGCAATGTGTTGAACTAACACGCTCGCTATGCTTTATGAGCTTACGAATTACGATCATCATTAAATGCATTTTACAGAACTGACGCCTTGTTGTTGGCTTGTCTGGCACTCAGAGTGTTGATGAAAATGTGATGTTATGCATCTTAAAGCACGAAATAGTCCTGTGTGAATGTATACATATTGTACAGTACTACCCCCGATCCCCGTCGTCTGACTGGATACGTACGAGTACATGTTTATAGTACCTACTATCAGGTGTCACATGTTTCTTTTCGGTAGCGTCGTTCACTGCATAGACCCCGGGGAACAGGGGGGGGGGGGCAGCGGGGGCGCTTACCCCCTCCCCCCTCCAACTTGAGAGCCGAGTGGGCGCCGCCCCCTCAACATTGATGCAACGAGGAAGGATCTCTCCTCCCTTTTATGGACCTGTCCTATATGTCTATTTTTTATATAAACATCAGCCAAGGTATTTCTCTTGCGTGTGAATGGTTTCTGCTGATTCAGCATCGATTTAAGAACACCTGCTATTGTCATCCCACTTTGATTTTATCTGAACTTGATCATAACTTTGGTAGGCCAGATTTTATACTGGACCATTTTGGTTCCGGATGGTATTTGATTTGGCGTGATGAGAACATTATGACGTACAACGGCGGTAAAGTCGTTGATTGATACAGGTTTACTCGCTCCGGTGGGAGGCAGTAGCGGCGGAACACCTTCAATTAAGGGGGGGGGGGCACTGCCGCCTTTGGTCCCATTCTTTCCATGCAACGCCCATAGGGCTAATGTTAAAATGCCCAAATCAGAGGGGGCACGGTGCCCCGGTGCCCTTCCCGTTCCGCCGCCTATGGTGGGAGGGCGGCGTGTGGGACTCAGAAGGAGGAGACTAATGGCTTGTGTTGTGCCTTTGGTAGGACCCTCAGTATCACCGATGCAGGGCCTTCAGAGCCTCCAATTAGAGGCCTTTAGAGGCACTGGTGTGGGGTCCTCACAGACGCCCGTGTGGCCGATCAGAGGTGCTAGTGTGAAGCCCTTATAAGCGCCGGTGAGGGTCCTCACAGAATACAGACGCCGTTGTGGGTCCTCAGAGACACTGGTGTGGGTCCGTTACATGTGGGTGTGTGGCTCTTAGAGCTGATGGTGCGAACCCTTTAGAAGTCGGCAGGGGGCTCTCAACGACCGGGGGGGGGACCTCAGACCGGCAAGGGGCCCACAGAGGCCGGCGGCATTTTCAGAAGCCCTGTGGGGTCCTTAGATACCGACAAGGTACTCTGAGACGCCAGTGCGGCCCTCAGAGTCTCCGCCTCCGGTGCAGGGCCCTCAGAGTTGCAGGTAGGTGGCCGTCAGATATGCTTTTGCGGAACCCTCACAGGCGCAGGTGTGGGTACCTCAGAGCCACCAATATAGGGTTGCATAAATGGTGTGTTACTGGCGTGGGGGACCCTCAGTGGTGTCCTTATGGGCCCTTAGAACCACTGGTGGGGGGCTCTCAGAGGTGCCGGTTGTGAACCCTCAGAGGCACTGCTGAGGGCCCTCACGGTCTCCGTTATGGGATCCTCAGAAACCGGCGTAGACCCTGACGGAGATCTTAGTGTGGCTACTTAGGGGTCCATGAGGTGCTCTTACGAGACCTGTGAGGTCTTTCTCAGTCGAAATATAGTCAGCGTGGACCCTCAGAGGTCAGTTGGTGCCGCAGGGCCCTTTGCGGCCGGATGGGCTCTCAGAAGCACCAGTTAGGGCCATCAGTCTCACAGTCGTCGTAATGGGGCCGTCAGAGACATTGGTGTGAGGCCATTACTGATTACAGGTTGGTGTAAGGCCCTAGATATGACCCCTCTTGGGCCGGCAAGGACTCTCAGAGGCAGGCAAGGGCCAAGGGGCCATAAGAGGCCGGTAAAGGGCCCTCAGAGGCCGCTAGTAGCCTTCAGAAGCCGGCGTGTAACCCTCATGGACAATTTAGTGTGGCTTCTTTGGACCCACGAGGTGCTGTTACGAGCCCTATTCTTTCTTAATCGAAATATCGCCAGCATGGACCCTGAGCGGTAAACTGGTGCCACAGAGTCCCTCCGACCCGAGGGGTCCTCTGAATCCGATAGGGGGGGGGGGGGGGGCTGGAGGGCACGTGCCTCCTGGGACCCCCTGACTACGCTACTATTTCATATGCGTCATGCCAGGTATTTTGGGCTTGCACCCCCAACTTGAAAAATGTTCCTGGGCCCCTGTGACAATACATTGTATTAATTATAGGTATTCGTCATTAGCTTGCACTCTCTGCAATCTGCCCATACTATTATTTGTCCCTAGACGCGCTTACAGAGGGCAGAGATAAGCCCATATACAATCAGCGGCCTGTTAGTTTCGCAAACAGCCGCTAGTGGCGCTAGGGTCGCCTATGTTGTGAGATAGGGTAAACTTCTCTCGCTCGGCGCCGCCTGGGGGTTAAAATTTGCGGGAAATAAACAATGCCACGCCATTTACACATGAGTGGAGCACAATAAAATCGATGGAGCACCTTGCATTGCGATTAGTGACACACCCTACTGTCGAGCTAACGTTACCCCTACGAGACACTTGGACAGCGCTGATAAAGCTAGACGTTTTATCGTTAAATAATTGACGCGACCATTGTCTCCAATCATTGGTTAGTTTTTTTTTGCGGGAGAGTTGATGTGTTTCGCCGAATGGTTCGGCATCGCACCGTGTTCATTCATTTCCAAATAATCAAGCTGTATTTTATTCATGTCTTTCAAAGAAGCATTTCCAATTCCAAATCCATCGTCTACATGAATTTCCCTCAGTATTGTTTGTCAGATTCACGAGTAAAAACGTGATCTTTGAGGGTGGTTTGTATACGGTCATAGTCCATTCGGCCCGCCATTCACCTGATGTAAATCCTTACCGAGTTACTGTCTGTAATCATTGAGGTAGTCTTCAATCACGTAATTCCCCTGAATTCATCTCGTTCTCATGGACCGATCACGCAGCTCGGAGACACCCTGATTAAGTTCTGCGAGGGCCGTCGGCTATCCTGGCTGGCGGAGCGAGCGCCAAACTCAGTTCCCGAAGATCTCGTCCAGATGGCAGTACTGTCGCCCAACTTTGCCGAAAACGCCAATGGCCTGCTCGGTAAGCTCCGCATAAACACTAAACAGCCATCCAGCCGTCCCGAGAGTCATCTCATGGCGCGGATAATGATGCTTCAACTTATACGTCATATGCATGTGCTTGATAATACGCCGACTTTCGCTAGGTAATGATGACACGTTCTCTACCTTCATCCCCGGTGTTTACAGCGAGACGGAAGCGGAACGTAGCCGGCGGCCGCTGGTCGGGCACGGCCATGTCCTCGTGGAGCCACTATGGCGACGGCCAGGGTTTCGGACGCGCCGTCGCCGTACCGCTCAAGGCCGAGACTGAAGTCCGTACGTAAACGACCATTCACACGCGCTTCTGGCTTGAAAAAAACCTAGCTATTTTCGTTCTTCCGAAGTCAAATGCTAGTCTCACGTTTTGATCCCTATACAAATGATTGCGCTATAAGCAATCATCAGCAGAGATCACAACTTGTAGCTTGTCAGCTCAGGTTGTAAGCAGCTCATGTCAGAACATGCAACTGAAGACTATACATGTATGCAATGTTGCGGGTGGTTAATAAAGTTCAACAAGTCTTGGAAACAACACCTCTTGAGTACTAATGCGTATCATTTCTAGAAGCAACTGACTTGCCGTTATTCTACCGCGCGGCTGACAATCTGCCGGCGCCCGGTATTCGACCGCGGCGGTGTTTCCGTGTGCCGCAGGTGGTCAACACGGCGCCGGGCTGGCCGCCGCTGCCTCATCGGTGGGCGACTGCTCCGGCTGCGGCGGCGGCGCCGCGGCCGGCCTGCCCTCCATGACGGCGTACGTGGCTCCGGGACAGGCGGGCGGGACCATAGGGATGGCGGACGGTTCTATGAGGCCGGACGGCGCCGCTGATGTATCGCTACCGATCACAGGGCCCTTCCCCGGTGCCACCGGAGGATGGCCAGGCATGCCTGGAGGGCCTGGAACACAGCCTGGAGGACCTGGATGGCCGGGCCAGCCCGCAGGACCTGGTACCCAGCCTGGAGGACCTGGGTGGCCAGGCCAGCCCGCAGGGCCTGGAATGCAGCCTGGAGGACCTGGATGGCCAGGCCAGCCCGCACGACCTGGAACCCAGCCTGGAGGCCCTGGATGGCCGGGACAGCCTGTAGGACCTGGAGGACCTGGAACCCAGCCTGGAGGCCCTGGATGGCCAGGACAGCCTGTAGGACCTGGAGGACCTGGAACACAGCCTGGAGGACCTGGAACTCAGCCTGGAGGACCTGGATGGCCGGGACAGCCTGTAGGACCTGGAGGACCTGGATGGCCAGGCCAGCCTGGAGGACCTGGAACCCAGCCTGGAGGCCCTGGATGGCCGGGACAGCCTGTAGGACCTGGAGGACCTGGAACTCAGCCTGGAGGACCTGGATGGCCGGGACAGCCTGGAGGGCCTGGATGGCCGGTACAGCCTGGAAGGCCTGGAACAATGCCTGGAGGACCTGGATGGCCAGGACAGCCTATAGGACCTGGAGGACCTGGAACACAGCCTGGAGAACCTGGGACTCAGCCTGGAGGACCTGGATGGCCGGGACAGCCTGTAGGACCTGGAGGACCTGGAACTCAGCCTGGAAGACCTGGATGGCCAGGACAGCCTGTAGGACCTGGAGGACCTGGAACACAACCTGGAGGACCTGGAATACAGCCTGGAGGACCTGGAACTCAGCCTGGAAGACCTGGATGGCCAGGACAGCCTGTAGGACCTGGAGGACCTGGTTGGCCAGGTCAGCCTGCAGGACCAGGAACCCAGCCTGGCGGCCCTGGATGGCCGGGACAGCCTGTAGGACCTGGACGACTTGGAACACACCCTGGAGGATCTGGATGGCCGGGACAGCGTGGAGGACCTGGAACAATGCCTGCAGGACCTGGAACAATGCCTGGAGGACCTGGATGGCCAGGCCAGCCTGGGGGACCTGGAACCCAGCCTGGAGGCCCTGGATGGCCGGGACAGCCTGTAGGACCTGGACGACCTGGAACACAGCCTGGAGGACCTGGGGCTCAGCCTGGAGGACCCGGATGGCCGGGACAGCCTGGAGGGCCTGGATGGCCGGTACAGCCTGGAAGACCTGGAACAATGCCTGGAGGACCTGGATGGCCGGGGCAGCCTGGAGGACTTGGGACTCAGCCTGGAGGACCTGGATGGCAAGGACAGCCTGGAGGACCTGGAACAATGCCTGGAGGACCTGGATGGCCGGGACTGCCTGCAGGACCTGGATGGCCGGGGCAGCCTGGTGGACCTGGAACTCGTCCTGTAGGGCCTTGGGAACTGACATGGCCTGGAACTCAGCCCGGGGCAGCAGGAACAGTTGCCGAAGGCAAGAGATGCGTCATGGTAATCTGCTTTGTTTTACATGTGTAGGCTGAATGCCGGAAAATGTTTGCTACGGCTTGACGCCTTATGACGCCAGTTGCCACCTAGCAACACCAGGAGCCTTGCATCCTGGTCATATCATGATTACTATAGGGTGACGATCTTCGTTGGTAGGTAATATAAAATGTGCACTAGCATGTTGTCTGTTAGGGAAAACCAAGCGTCCATCGTCAGCTTGTTGCGTGGGCTCACCAATCGGTCGGGGGCGGGGCATTTTTGGCGAACAACAGAAAACAAGCAAATGTTTCACTGCCGTGTCAAAAAAAAAACCCACGATCCAATATCCGTAGACTCAACATTTGATAATAGGGTAGGGCTTCGCAGCCACTTCTTGCAGGCCAGTTCGTCAGTAGACAATAGCACCAGAACCATCCTGGAGAAACCGCGGCAGATTGCCTCAGGCGTAGATCTCTGTAGACCTCGGTACACGGATGTCTATGCCTCAGGCTTTTTAGACTGGCCTACACAGGGCCGGTTTATTCAACAGACCGCAGTTGGCCAGTTCCACCCGTCTGGATTCCAGATTGGAACTGTTTATCATTTGCCCTTTACGATGTTTAACGGCCAATACAATTTTAGACTACCCAAGCCTCTACCTGAATCAAACGAATACCCGTTCGGCGATGCTGATCATATATAGCGGGTACCTACTTGAAGTAAGTCAAGGAGGAATCAGGAACCTTCATACATACAGGATGGAACTGACACAAACGAAGCCGCGAGGATTGAGGAGCGGCCGGACGGGTTACGCAGCGCACTGAGCTCTGATCAGTGCTGATAGCGGCGCCCTGGAGCAGCCGAGTACGACTCGCGAGGTAAATGACTCATCGAGTACCTACCTACGCCTTGCGGGATGCAACTCGCCGTGAACACGAGGACGACTCAGGAAGGACCCGTTGACTTGAGGACCAGCCGCGCGGTGAGCACCTGTACTTACAGACTCGTCGATGGGGGTAGCTCTCTGGTCCTGCAGCCTCCCTCCGAGGGCGCCACATACGGTCTTGGACGCCACCAGGCGGGCGCCATCGGTGGGTGCCGTGTCGCCAGCTGGAAATGGTGCGGGTCCTACGACCATAAGGGACCACAAACGAGACGTTTGCTTGCAGAGGGTGGGCTGAGGGGTTGAGACTTCACTTCGGTCTATTAGTCATCTTGAGTCAGACCCCAGTAGGCTGGCAGTGGCCGGAAAACCACTCACGTCGGCTCGTTCGTAGGGTAGGATATCACCTTAAAAACGCCCTGCGTCAACATTAGCGTAGGCTGCGCTCCACTTTCTGTGCGAATGGAGAATCAGGCGATCGATCAGACTGGTGGTACAAGGGGGTGGAGAATTAGGGGTTTTGGGGGTGCTCGAGCACCCCCTGAAAATCAAAAGTCACAATATAATATTGCTCCGGGGGTCCTTAAATTACGTCTGAGACACAAACTGCTTTGCGTAAGTTGCGAGGAAAGTGATTCTGCTGAGAAAACGTACCTACCTATATGTGCTTTTCTACGCAAGAATTCGACGCTTCCATTCGCCAGGTGCTAGAAAAGCACCCCCTGGGATTATGACAATTCTCCGCTCCTGGGTACAAATCAGTCGTGGAGTTGAGCGATTGCGATTGCCGAGCCGGCGGACCCCGACCATGAGACTGAGATCAACTCGAGCGACGCGAATACGGGATCCAAACCAATATAGGTAGTACCGACCGTGGTATGCGGCACATAATTTTCCGGCCGATTAGAACGGATCGGTCGAATCACGGATTACTTTACTTCATTTATGGTACGAGTTCATGCTCCTGGTCTATAGTCTATAGGGTCCAGTAGTATATACTATATAGGGCATTGGGGCGATGACGTCGCTTCAGCCTTGAAGTCAGCCGTAGTCACGAGTAGTAAAGTAATCTTGGTAGTCACATACCTTCAACTGATGACGTTGACGATCCGTGCAAAGCTGCATGGTCATACCAGTGTTTTTATATACCTTGGGTCATACAACTTCTTGCTACTTGGTTACAGGTCAGAAATAAAGCAGTAATAAGTAGCCTAAAAAATATAAACGAATGCCCGTCCACAACAAAGATCAGATGCAAAATGCGGCTATTACTTTACAACTTTGCAACAACTTTGTACAGCCCTGGATATATGGAAACACAAAAGTTAGCGCAGCAGCCTCTTTTGCGGCAAAATCTTGTGTTCGACGATGACACTTTTGTAGTTTGTTGACAGAAAACAGTGGACATTTATTACATTCATACAGTTTTTCGGTCACATTGTACAAGCTATTTTAGCTGGAAATTATTTAACTATGTGCTTTGTTTCTCTCTTAACCAAGTGTTTAACGATGAAATCAGCTAATTTGCATCGAAAGCTATCATTTCTTGTTGTTGTTCCGCTATTTGCTACCGCTACATCCGGCGGGACTGAACATTTTTGTCTAATTGGATTTAAGGATACCTTGTTGTGGATTCAAAGTTTTCAATTTTCAAGCAAGCTTTTGGCAAGCTTCAAGTGAGGTCAGAGATGTGCATTTTTATTATTTTCTCTGGCTGGTGGTGTTGGGATATATTTAATCCATGGACAGTCCAGTAACATTATTGAAACTTCCGAAATGGTGATGTTGCAGATTGCAGAAAGCCATTTGTTCAGCAGGCCAACTTGTCAGATTTATTGGTATTATTACAGAAAGAGTCTGATCAGGAATGTCACTATAAAAGTCATACCACATGATACATTTTGACCTCCTGAGCTCATATCTGATAATTGTTCATGGTGCAACCAAGTGCATTACACACTTGTAATGTTTACCATCACCAACAGACCCCCAACCCCCCCAACACTGCTCCTGCCGCCATCACCAGCATTGAAAGGATAAATTTCTAGGTTGAGTGAAAAATCACATTACATACAGATGCTATTCAATTTCACTATGAAAGTGACGTCATAAAAATATTTGTGGTGAACCGGTGCAGTGCCGAATGCAATGCCTTAGGAGAGTTTACAGGCAATGGTAAGTCAAATATTTTTAGGTTAAGCGGTCATGCATCAGGCTTCAGCTAGATTCAGGATGTCAAAGAGTGCAAGAATGTGGAAAATTTTTGTCTGGAAAGTGGAAAGTGAATTGGACTCTCTCTGTAATTTTACCGATTCTGATTCATTTGCTGCTTTTAGTTTGACTTTGGGAGGATGTTTAAGTGCTCAACTAAGTTGTTAGCTTATTAATTTGCAACTTCATTGACCCTATTGAGATATATTTAATTTTATATAGATTATGCATCATCTCTTAGCTGAATTGCTTGGAACAATTAGGCTGTTGCCATTTTTGCCTGGGAATTTGCTGTCTCATCAAGCTCTTTGCACTCACAACAGTTGTGTGAATGCTCAGTCAAGATGGAAAGGATAACCAAAAATGTGTGATTTTCAGCTTAGGTTGCACAAGCTATTTTGATTGATTCCACGCCTAGGTACCTAAGTCTTTGTCTGGACAAATCTGCAATCTGTCTGGACAAATCTGCAATCTGTCTGGACAAATCTGCAATCTGCATATGACCTTTCAACTAGAATCAATGAAATAATCAATAATCATGACAAACATATTTTAAACTACCCCAGCTGAACCTTCCAGGTGGTGGGGGGGGGGCATTTTTTGCCCCCCCCCTTTTTGTTTTTCTGACGTATCTCCAGAACCGCTGCGCCGATCGTCACCAAACTTTCAGTACCCTCCCGTGAATAGCTATTGCACATTGTGACCAACATTTTTTCCAAAGGCTATGATAGGTTGGCCGCTAATGACGTCAGAGTGACGTCATTTCTGCCATTTTCGACCCAAAAAAAGGTTTCGCGGGAAGAGCTGTCAGGCCTACAGCTTAAGTGATACAGAAAAATGTTAAAGACATAAAAGGTGTAGAATTAAAAGGGCTACACAACTACTATCTCGAATTTGTGAATTTTTTGGATTTTGACCCCCAAAAATAAAAAATAAAATAGATTTTATAAATATAATAGTTGAAAAATCCAAAAAAGTTTTTTAAATTTCGAAAAAAAACGGAATATATGTGATAGTTCCTACCGCCTTCTATCTACATACCAAATTTGAGATCGATACCTCTTTTTTTGGCTAAGTTATAGCGAAAAAACTGTTCAAAATTAATGACGTCAAATTTTCAAGCTCAATTTTTAGCCATTCCAGAGCTCGTAGCGCAAAACAAAGACCACCATTAGACTCCCCGTGACGAGCTGCATCGAATCAATACCCATTTTATGCAAAACTATCAACTTTGAAATTTGACCTTTTTGACCTGACCTTGACCTGACCTCCACCAGAAAGTGACCTAAACCGTACCTGATGGTCTTATAACCAACACCATTGAGTTGGAAATAAAAAATTGGCCATGAAACATGCATCGCACTGCGCACAACCTTAGTAAAGTTGGGTTCATGTGGTGACCCTTGGTGACCTGACCTGTGACCTGACCTGGTATGACTAGTGACCTCTAATAGCAACATATGTACTAGAAAACTGACGCCCTATCGCTGATTTTCGACAAAATTCGTTTTACTCGGTGTTATAGCTCTTTCTCTAGAAGACCCGTGAACGGTGAAACATTTTATCTTTGACCTGACCTGTGACGTCATCGGTGACCCCGAGGTCAATTAAATTTGGTTTCCCCGTGACAAATTTGACAGGGCTATCGAACGCCGTTTGAATTTTCCGGATCCGTCCAAGTGTCGGAGATACGGGGGGGGGCAAAAAATGCCCCCCCCCCCTTCACCGCGCGGAAGGTGGCCGGGAGGCCCACCGCCTGCCGGGTTAACACATTGTTACCTTACGCAGGTACCCTATGCAGGTATTTTAAAAGATAGAATGGACAAATATTTGTCCACAACAAAGATTTGTCGAAATACTATTTTTATTCCACAGTAACTACTGAGTACTGATCTAAGTGTACCAGGTAAGATAACCAGGTAAGAAGTGAGAAGCTCTGAGTGATGAGAAAAATATGAAGCCCAGAGTTCAGTGCATATTGCTCCCATTGATTATGATCACTTCTGAAATAATTACTGGCTAGTTGGCTCATGCTCCTGTTCAGCCCTTAGATCAGTTCTTCTTAATGTACCTACCATTAAACTCATGTCCAAGTTAGGTGCC